AAGGCATGGAAAAAAAAAAAAAAAAAGACAACTTGAAGAGATAAAGCATTCATCACAACCACACATGGCATAGATCCTGGAATTATCAGACTGGAATTTAAAATAACTACAATTAACACGCTAAGGGCTCTAACGGATAAAGTAGCCAACATTAAGAGCAATGTTGCAAAGAGATGAAAATCCTAAGAAAGAACCAAAAAGGAGATCATCCTTAATAACCTGAGTGGGCCTCATCCCATCAGCTGAAAGCACCTAGAAGCAGAACTGGGGTTTCCCAGTTCTTCTTCCCAGGAAGAAGAAATTCTGCCTGAAGACATAGAATCAATTCCTGCCCAAGAATTTCCATACTGTGAGCGTGCCCTACAAACTTCAGATCTGCCAGCCCCCAAATATATAAGCCAATTCCTTCAAAAATATCTCTCTTCTCTCTCCGACCAGTTCTGTTTCTCTGGCAGACCCTGACTGCTACAGTAATGTGAGGTCATCTTGAGAATTCTGTTCACCTTAAACATGCGATATTTTAAAGATTCTAAGACTCACCTTGAAGGATTCTATAGGGCCTCATTGAAGGATATTCATAAATGATTATCTTTGGGAAAACTCCTTTTTCTGCTACTGTGAAATAAGTTTTATCAGGGTGAACCTATAAAAAACAAAAGGCCACTAAAGTATTAAAAGGGAGATATTCACATAAATAGTTACATTAATAAGTATTTAGAACCTGTTACTTTATAATTGGTTTATTAGGATCCACTCCAACAGAAAACTCAAAGCTGGACATCTACTAAATACTTGATAGTGGATATAATTTAAACTGAGAACTAGAAGGGTACACACTTAAGTTTTACTTTCATTAATAGAGTCATGTTTAACTACAATTTTTTAAACTGCCATCTGAAGAGCTAGAATGGTAGGTCTCAATCTTTAGCAGGCATCAGAATCACAAGAAGGGCTTATTAAAGCATAGACCTCAAGCTTTAACACTGGAGTGTCTAAGTCAGTAAATTGGGGCTGAGATCTGAGATTGTGTATTTACATTTCTATCAGTTTCCCAGGTTATGCTGGTGCTGCTGAATCTGGGGACCGCTGTTTGAAACCAACTAAGTCAGAGTGTTTACCTTGAATATAAATCAACCTACCTTCATGAATAGAAAATTCATGTCTCAGAGTAAGCTGTGTCACAATTTTTTAAATTTCACCTAACCAGCAATAAATATCTCAATATTTCAAATGATAGCCATATACATTGGGTGGAATCGTATGTTCACTCCTGTTATTTTTGTTCATTGACACAAATAGTTTATCCAGGGAATATTTTTGTATTTCCTTTGCATCTGACTTAGAAATATTGTATCTTTCACAATTTCAGTAAGTTTACATCCATTTCTGCACAGCAGGCTCTGCACTAGCTCTGTCTGGTCTGCTCACAACCAGTAGGAAGCACAAGGGAAGGATTAGATGTTCGGATCACGATCCCTCTAGAAACCCTCTTGAGCATCTCATAGGGAACTGCCGCTTGTATGAGCCCCACATCCTGCCCATTTCTCCTCCTTTCCCTTTCCCTGTGAGGTCTCTCACAGATTAATCTCAACAGATGCCCTTCTCCTGACACCAGTGACACTGAGAGGACCCCTAAGGCTGCCTGTTACCGGTAAGAACAAATCTGGGACGCCTATTTTAAGGAGCACAGGGTAGAGAAACAACCAAGCGAAAAGCCATTGCTATTCAGAGGTCAGGTAAGATAGTTAGAAAGGTATTATTTTGATGTGGCCACTAATAGGGTCATTGGCCATCTTAGTGAGGTGATAGGAAGAAGACAGCAGAAGTTCAGCTTTGAGGGAAAGATCAAAAATCAGGGGGTAGGGCTTCTCTGGTGGCTCAGTGGTAAAGAATCTGCCTGCCCATGCAGAAGAAACGAGTTCAACCTCTGACCCAGGAAGATCCCACATGCCACAGAGCAACTAAATCCATGTGTCACAACTCTTGAGCCTGTGCTCTAGAGCCAGGGAGCCACAACTACTGAAGCCCAGGTGCCCTAGAGTCTGTGCCCTGCAACAGGAGAAGCCACCACAATGAGAAGCCCACACAACACAATTAGAGAGTAGCTCCTGCTCTCTGCAACTACAGAAAAGCCCATGCAGCAACGAAGACCCAGCATAGACAAAAGTACACCTTTTTAATTATATATTTTTAAAAGTCAGCAGGTAAAGAGAATGTATGGTTAGAAAGGGTTGTTTGTTTTTTTTTTAATCAGGGCTTGAGGCTTTCAGGACCTTAATTCCACAACGAGGGTAACCAGTGGACCCCCAGTGAAGTCCCAGAGAGGGGCCTTTTAAAATGAGAACAAGTTGATTTAATAGTATGCTTTCATGCTAAGGATGCCCAAGGAAGTAGAGGGTGAAGATACAAGAGAGAAAATGACTAATGGACACAGACACCTGGGAGGAAGGAAGAGACAGACTTGAAATCACACATTTTTTTGTCGACTACTTGAAATTATTGAATAGACAATTATACTTCATCTCCTAATGTTCAGCTCTATACTTGCATTTTATCTGGCATTTAGCTCTAATTATTACATGAATTACCACTCATGTTATTCATCTTAGTAATTTTGCAGAATGGCAACATAGCATTTAATGGAAAAAACCTGCAAGACTCTAGGAAAGTCACTCAACCTCTATTAGCCGCATTTTCTTATCTGCAAAATGAGATGACAATATTATTAATATCAATATAAATAGTATAATATTGCATGGAGCTAAAGTCAGTGAATGCAGTGGTTGTAATCACGAATTGAAAATGCCTTAGAATAAAGATTACTTTGCACTTCATGAAATTCCATAAGACTTCAAACGAACACACAGTTGGATTTTTTTCCTAAATTACCAAAAGCATACCCCAATGACACCAATTCCTATTCCACTGCTACTTCGCAAGTAGGTCTGTTCTTTGGTTTTCAAATTCAGAAAAATCAGCTGGTTCCCAGCTATGTACATCACGGTATTGCTTTCCAGAAGTTGTAAGTTGGCCCGCTTTCTGCAGTCATAACCAAAGGAATGTCTGTGGGTAAGTGGCTAAGGAAAAGAAGTGAAACAAAGTAACCATGGGCTGGCGGTGGGCGGGTGGGGGGATGTAAGCAATGAAATGAATATATTTTTTAAACCCATACCCTTAGTAGCTAAATTTTATGCCAAAACAGAGTTTTTTAATGTATTACTAATGTAACCTTATTTTTAAATTACGTGAAAATTCTCATACTCTAAGCTAATAATTTAATTTTCCTAGGAAAACCCTGAAAGCACATTAATTTTATTTAATTTTGTTTTCAATAGAAAATAAAGTTGAACTTTCAATTTGAGTACTATAGGTTTCCCTCGTAGCTCAGTCATTAAAGAATCTGCCTGCAAAAAAAAAAAAAAGAATCTGCCTGCAATGCAGGAGACCCAGGTTCAATTCCTGGATCAGGAAGATCCCCTGGCGAAGGAAATGGCAACCCATTCCAGTACTCTTGCCTAGAGAATCCTATGGACAGAGGAGCCTGGCAGGCTACAGTCCAAGATGTCACAACAGTCGGACAGACTTAGTGACTAAACCACCACCAAGGAGCAAAGGAGCTTCCTAAATAATTTCATTTTCCTCTCTCCTGCTAAAACTAAATCAACATTATAATATGAAAGGAGGTCTGTATGTTATCTTTGTACTCCCAAAGCCTGTTCAATTTGTTGTCTCAATACGGTAAAAGGATCACATAGCCTCTTGCTGTTGTTGTTTAGTCACCACGTCATGTCCAACTCTTTTTTGACCCTATTGACTCTAGCCCGCCAGGCTTCTCTGTCCATGGGATTTCCCAGACAAGACTACCAGAGTGGGTGGCCATGCCCTCCTCCAGGGGATCTTCCTCACCCAGGGGTCAAATCCCTGTCTCCTACATTGCCAGGCAGATTCTCTACCACTGAGACACCAGGAAGCCATAGGCCTCTTCCTTGATGCTAAAAGACAAGATGTTTAAAATTCTGACATGCTAGTGAAATTCTGACACACCAGTGATAGTGACTACTCTAATAAATTCACATGACTATAACTTAAATTTAATCATATGAAAAATAATGAAAATTGACTAAATAACATATAGTACATAAGTACATAAAATAAATAGGCTAACATTTCCTTTCTGGGATGACTAGTATACACATGTATATAGATGAATGTGTGTGCATTCATGCTATAGAGTGTAACTTCGTTAATTCAAAATAGGTTTAAAAAATTGAGCTGTAAACTATTTTCAAATGTACATTGTTACTATACTCAAGCTCAAATTAATATAATCCAAAATATGACTATAATAATTAAATGAGATCAATCTATTAAAAAATTCTAGTTTGCAAAGAAATATATTACATAGTGTAACTTAAGTAGATAGATTCTTATTTTCCAAGATTCATTGCTGAACACAAAAGTTGAAGGTTCACAGGACAAGTAGCTATTTTTTGAGCCCAGGGCTTTCTTTTTAATCTGATTTTAGAGGATTCCTCTTATCTGTTAGTAAATACTTCCAGAAAAAAAATTACAGATTTTATCAAGAGGATCTGTAGGATGTTAAAAAATGATCAAATTTTAACTAATGTAATTTGAATTATGAAGTATAAATTATAACTAATAACAAGTAACTATACCTATCACATTGCCTAATAGTTAAATTGAAAAAGAAAGAGAAAACATTTCAGGGGCATTTGTACAAGAAAAAGGAATTTTATAAATTTAAAGACACAAATACCTAAAATTGAATCTTATGTAGAAATGCAAATGAATATGTGATCTAAGTTCTAGATGAAGCTATTCTTACCTTATGGAGAATACCTGGGACTGCCTCACAAATAAAGAATAGAATCTATAGCCCCTTATGTTTACAGAGCCTGGTTTTTGTTATTGTTCAGTCACTCAGTTGTGTCCCTCTCTTTTTGACCCCATGGACTGCAGCATGCCAGGCTTCCCAACTTCCCAGTCCTTCACCAACTCCCAGAGTTTGCTCAAACTCATATCCATTGAGTCAGTGATACCATCCAACAATCTCATCCTCTGTCATCCCCTTCTCCTCCTGCCATCAATCTTTCCCAGCATCAGGGTCTTTTCCAATGAGTCAATTCTTCGCATAAGGTGGCCAAAGTATTGGAGCTTCAACTTCAGCATCAGTCCTTCTAACGAATATTCAGTACTGACTTCCTTCAAGATTGACTAGTTTCATCTCCTTGCAGCCTAAGGGATTCTCAAGACCCTTCTCCAGCACCACAGTTCAAAAGCATCAGTTCTTCAGCATTCAGCTTTCTTTATAGTCCAACTCTCACATCCATACATGACTACTGGAAAAACCATAGCTCTGACTATACGGACTTTTGTCGGATAAGTGACAAAAGTTTCTGCTTTTTAACATGCTATCTAGGTTTGTCATAGCTTTTCTTCCAAGGAGTAAGTGTATTTTAATTTCACAGCTGCAGTCACCTTCTATGGTGATTTTAGAGCCCAAGAAAATAAAGTCTGTGACTGTATCCAGTTTTCCCCCATCTATTTGCCATGAAGTGATGGGTCTGGATGCCATGATTTAGTTTTCTGAATGCTGAGCTTTAAGCCAGCTTTTTCACTCTTCTCTCTTCACCCTCATCAAGAGGCTTTTTAGTTCCTCTTCACTTTCTGCCATTAGAATGGTATCATCTGTATATCTGTGGATGTTGATATTTCTCCCAGCAATCTTGATTCCAGTTTGTGCTTCATCCAGTCTGGCATTTTGCATGATGTACTCTGCACATGGGCTTCCCCTGTGGCTCAGCTGGTAAAGAATCCACCTGCAGTGTGGGAGACCTGGGTTCGATCCCTGGGATGGGAAGATCCCCTGGAGTAGGGAAAGGCTACCCACTCCAGTATTCTAGCCTGGAGAATTCCATAGACTGTATAGTCCATGGGGTTGCAGAGAGTCAGACGTGGCTGAGTGACTTTCACTTTCGCTCTGCATATAGGGCTTTCCAGGTGGTGCTAGTGATAAAGAACCCACTTGCCAATGCAGGAGACACAAAAGATGCTGGTTTGATCCTGGGGTCAGGAAGATCCCCTGGAGGAGGGTACAGCAATCCACTCCAGTATTCTTGCCTGGAGAATCCCATGGACAGAGGAGCCTGGTGGGCCACAGTCCATAGGGTCACAAAGAGTCAGACATGACTGAAGCAACTTAGCACGCTTGCACTCACTCTGCATGTAAGTTAAATAAGCAGAGTGACAATATACAGCCTTGACAGAGCCTGGTATGGGGCAGGAAGTTCTGTCTACCCTCCTTTTCCCTCTCCTTAATCACTGCTGTCACCTTTCCTTCTTCTTCCTCTCTTTTCCCCTTTCCCAGATACCAGTGTAACACTCTAGAGGGCTGGAGGTACATCTGTAACTATGAAAGGAGAAATGAGGTACAATCCCCTCACTAATTTGGATGATAGTAGAGAATCAGAGACATGCTCATTAATCTAATATTATCATCTTTGATTTCAAGGGGGAAACTCTTTCTGCCTTGCAGCTGCATTGATTGAGAGCCCTTTCAAATGCAGAACGGGTAAGACTGTATCTTCCCAGACACTCTTTTTCTAAATCAATCACAACCTGCTTGAGGGCAGAGATTGCTTCTCATTTATCTGTTTCCTGGAATGCCCACCAGAGTCTTGAGCCTATTAGGCTAAATAAATAAATGAATGAATGCATAACTAGAGTCTGAACTCCCCCTTTTAAACCCAGAAGACAAGGCAGTCCATAAGCAGAGCTCTGAAAATGTAAAAATGTGTTCTGATACATCTGCAACTCCCTTGTGTTTTACTTCATCCTTTCTTCTGGCATCTTTTCTTAACTTCTTACCAAAGGCCTAGGGACTTCACTGTCCATCCATAGCCATCTAGGACCTCCACTTTAAAATGATGTTTAAACACTATCTTAAGTTCTGTTTAGTGTCTTTTACAAATTATGCTGTGGCTTAAGTGATATTTTGTAAATTACACATTTATTTAGAAGACACAAATGTTAAGTCTGATATATATAAAGAATTTTAGAAGTATCTGGGGAACACATGACAGCTGACTTCTTGGATCTTCTCACAAGAAATAGAGATTATTTGTTCCATCTCTAGAGAGTAAGACAAAGTCTAATGCAGGACATCCATAAAGGCAGATTTTGATTCAAGATCTAGAGAAGCTCTCTAATAATGGAAGCTATTCAAAAATGGGATCCGCTGGTTTTGAAAGTGATCAAGACAAGCCCAAAGCTCATAAATTCACTCATCCAGCATGAGTAGAAAGGATTCACGCACTGAGTCAAAAGTCAAGATCTCTCTGACTCCCTGATTTATAAACTCGGCATCTCTCTCTAAAACAGAGATCCTTGTATTCTGAAGCAGCAAGTCCCTAGTGTTGACAGTCAGGAGAAGGCAGCACAATGAAAATTACCTGAGAAGTTTTTCAGAGTACATATGCCCAAGGCCCTGTCATCATGGAAATAACGCCAGTAGGTCCAGGAAGCTATCTGAGCATGTGCATGTCAGGAGAAGCTTCTAGATGACTAATAAACCACCTCATTTGAAAAAATAGGCTAGAAGGCCACATATCTTTCATTGGTAACTTGTCCAAGGGCTACAGATTTTTTTTAAAAAGGCCCTCAAGAGAGAAAAATCCAGGTTATAAGTTACACGGTGAATTAGTTTTAGTTATACCTAGGATTAGAGAAACAGAGTTAGAAGCTAAAATAACAATCTGTTCAATTTTTAAATAAAAAGCAAAACTGAGTCAGGAAGTACACTGCCCTACCTCTGTAAGCACCCCTTTTAGAAAGGGCCTAAACCTCAGTGTTTAGGCCATGTGGTCACAACCACTGCCCTTTGGAAGGTAAGCATACTAAACTGCTAAACAAAAGCCTTAATGGAAATTGTCTTCAAACCAGTGCCTTACAAACCTACATCACAAAGTGATAGCAAACCCCAAATCCCCTTGTTAATTATCCTATTTGACATTTCTCTATAGACTCTTATTCTCCTATTGAAATCTGTACTTTTGTTCCCTGTTTCCTCCTCAGGGTTATCTTCTCTATAACTTATCTGATAAATAATGTGAAAGCACTAAGGCCTGAGAATGGCCATGTTAGTGTTTTAAGAAGGGAGATCAATGATTTTCACTTGACAGGCACTAAGAAAGGGTGCCAAGCTGGTAGAGATAATGGGGATAAAAGTCCTCCTGGTTTCCTTCACATCAGATCTCCTGAAATGACAGCCAGAAAAGCATTATTTCTTTTTATGGTTATTTGGCTTCTAACAAAAGCTTAGTCTAAATTAAGACCATGGCTATAGTTTGCCAACCCATGACCTAAAGAGCTGAAATTTCAAAATTATACATGACTGGAGTGGATACACAAGTGTAAGAAGATCCAGTGGTATGTTTGAATCTGGAGTCACAAAAGGCATTGAGACAAGCTCCATATAATCGTAGAAGCAGCTTTCTGATATTTTCTTCTTAACTTCCTCCTCTGCCTCCTCTGCATCTGGGGCAGGAGTTTCCATATACCGAGATTCTAAAAAGTTAAAAATATTTTAACTAAGAAGAGTGTCTGATCAATCCTAATATCATATTTCATGAAGACGAGAAGAATGTATCTAGCCCATAATACTTTAGCAGTAACTACTACTTCTGGCCTGAACACTAGTTGCACCGCAAGTGAGCACCTGGTTACAGCAGTCTCAAAAGACAGTAAGTACATGATCAGTTCCAAGGAAGAGTTATTGTCACTAACGTAGGGTTGATCTCTCCTTATACCATCCCACTGCCCAGAAAAATCCAGTATGAGTATGTGATTCTCAGAAATGAAATATACAGCTCCAGGGCTGCTAACCCACCCTATCAGAATATGCTTTATGTTCTTTCTTTTATCACTCCCAAATACCTTGCAAACATTTTTTATGGATTTACAACTGTTAAACTAAAACAGGGACAATCACTGATAGAAAACGAATAATAATTACCTCCAAAGCTTTCTGTATAATCATCTTGAAATGAACTTGAACTTCCTTCCAAATGTTCCACATAAGATTCATCATCCTCTATATATGATTCTTCCCCTTCAGTAAATGCTTCACCTGTGGTATCATCAATAGACTTGTGACCCTCTTTCATAGAAGCTATTAAAAATAAATTGTTTTAATAATTTCTAAATTTGAATTAAATATTTTCTTATTTTCCAAGAAGCTAATATGTCCAATTCGTTTGCACTCTAAATTGAATGAATTTTAAACTCAAAAATTCCTACAAAAATAATTTTATTTGGTCACTCTTGTAGCTTTACAAAAATTGTTTCAAGCTTTTCCTGTGAGTTAATCTCCATTTTCACTTCATTACCAGTCTATTTCCTACCAAAACAGACTTATAAGAAAGTAAAGGGTAAAGAAAAAAAGATTGGCTGGTATGATGCTATCATTTTTTCAATTTAATTTGATTTGACCAACCTATTATTTATATAGGACCTTTTAAGGGTTTCCCTAGTGGCTCAGCTGGTAAAGAATCTGCCTGCAATGTGGGAGACCTGGGTTCAATCCCTGGGTTGGGAAGATTCCCTGGAGAAAGGAACAGCTACCCAGTCCACTATTCTGGCCTGGAGAATTCTATATGGTCCATGGGTTGCAAAGAGTCAGACATGACTGAGCAACTTTCACTTCACTTTTATGTCAAAGATAAAGCTGACTGAGCGACTAAACACAGACAAGAATAAACTTCTCTGGGTATGACTATTTATCTCTGAATGATACCCCAGGAATAAGTCAGACTATTCTCTTTAGAACAAGGTAGAAGAGAAAGAGAACTGGAATGGGAGTAAAACAGAGCTACTAACAGGTCTAAGCTAACGTTCAAATGAAGTCCAAACATGAGTGTGATTCAAATATACCATGTCAAGCAGGTGAAACGGCCAGGTAAAGTTTCAGAATAACAAGGCAGAAATGGTAAGTGTGCTAGAAATAAGTGGAACCACCTGGCAGATATAGCTGTGAAAGTGAAAGTGTTAGTCCTCAGTCGTGTCTGACTCTTTGTGACCCCATGGACTGTAGCTCGCCAGGCTCCTCTGTCTATGAGATTCTCCAGGCAAGAATACTGGAGTGGGTAGCCATTCCCTTCTCCAGGGGATCTTCCCAACCCAGGGATCGAACCCATAGGCAGATTCTTTACTGTCTCAGCCAAGATCTAGCTGAGATGAAGGTAAAAGATGAGAAACAAGGCCCAAGACTAATATGAATGGGGTAAGAAAGCCAATCAACAAGACAACAGGATAGGGTTCTATAGGATTCATGCATTTGGATGGAAAGAAAATAATCCTGGACACCTAAATGTGGCCTCATTTCTTGAATTGCCCCAAGAGGGATCCTTGGGTAACTATTCTCCAATAATACCATTGAACAGATATCTTAGCTCTTCCATGTGACTATCACAATCAAATATTATTTCCCATCTCTAGACTACAATATTAAAAGCTTGATACCCAAGCTGCCATGAAATGAATTAAGGCTGCCAGCTAGGATAATGGAATTGGCAGTGAATACAGGTGAAGGGGAGTAAATCAATTTTCTAAAAATGAATATTCTGAGCCTAGTTGAAGGGCTCTGATAGGAAAAGTGGAGCTTGGAAAGAAAAACCTAACAAGCAGTGCTGGACAAAGGGTCATTATCATTAAATCCACCCATCCAGGAAAATGTTGCAAAGAACTGGAAACTATAAAGTAGACAATCCTCTGTCATAAATGCAGGAAGCAGAGAAAAGTGCAAATGGAAAAACAAAAGAGATGCAAACTGAAGTTTGTTGAGGAGAGTGATATTTGGGGAGGATAACTCTAGTGGAGGTATGGACAGGATGACTTGAGTAGAGATCCTTGTTACAAAAGTCCAAACAAGAGGAGATAAACACCTAAAATAAAACATAATATGGAGAAATCATGGATTAGCCAGATAATGCCTCAGATAAACTGAAAGAACTTAATGTACAATTTATAAGTAAACTGATTTCCCCAGGACCTGATCTCCTCTAGGTGAATAGTAAAAATTGTATTTCTGAAGCTAGACTTAGGACTAGAAACTTAAAAAAGTCAAGATTCCAGTAAACTACCTCACACCATGATGCCCAGTCAGAAAGAACCAGCAGTCCTTTAAAAATCCTATTACAAAATTCTTCACTTTCCCTTCTATCTACATGTGATGATATTCTTCCACGTATGGTATCCAATTTAATTCTCAGACAGCTTACAATGGTCATTTTGTGGGTAGGAAAACTGAGGTGCAGAAAGCTGAAATAATTTATCTAAGATCAAGCATCTCTAAATAGTAGACCCAGGACTCAAAACTGAAGTCCAATTCTCTTTCCACTACACTGTATCAGAGGGGCCCATTAAAGACCTTGTAGACCTGACAGGAAGGAGCCAGACCAGATGCGAAGCTGGGTCATTATCAATATAGATGACAGTAGCTTCTCTGTTCTTTAGAAGCTAGAGATAAAATGATTAAAACACAGAATCTGCCCCCTAAACAACTTAAGAGTTTAGTAAGGGAATTAAACAAGTAAACTTTTCTGTCATATAAACTTAGATATGCATTCTTTAAAAATTATTTTATCTAAATTTAATAATAAAGCCCCTAGTGTATACTATAATCTTTACTTACTTCTTGATGCAGATCTAGAGGAATGAGACTGCCTTCTGTCACTCTTTGATCTATCTGATTTCCCCCCATCAGTATCCTGATCATCTGGTTCCTTCATTTTCTCTGTAAGCATAAAATTGAGACAGAGAAAGGGGGAGAGTATAAAATAGAAATCAGAATTTTTTTTTCCCCTCAACAAATTCCACAAGCACCAAACACCATATATGTTGACAATCATATGTTTACACAGTATCAGAAATGACTTTACTAGCAGGAGGCCACAACTACCATCAGAGACCTCTGCAGAGTGGCAAAATAGAGTCAGATACTCCTTTCCTCCAGGCAAACTTGTTACCATGGTACCCTCTGGTTTTCCAGAGGTCCACAGTGAAACACCACCTAAGCCCATCATCATTCCCTAAATGCTCCACCATTAAAATTAACTCTCTGCCATCCTGCTTTGGGTTCATCCCCTCTGCTTCCTCTTCCCAACATCAAATTCCCCTGGTGTTGCTAATCAACTTCAATATTTAAATATTTGTTGACATATTCTCTGTATCAAGTCTTATTACACTAAATTACAGTACTGAACTAGAAAGATACAGCCCTTAACTTAGTGGAGCTTGTTTAGAAAGACAGGTATTAAACAAGCAATTAAAATGTAATGAGTTTTACAAAAATTAGGGTGCTGTGGGCACATATAGCAAGAAGATGAAACCATGTCTGGAGTTAGCAAAGAGGCATCTGAGATGGGAGATTAGAAGAGGTTGGCCAGGCATGAAGTGGGAAGTGACGGAGCTTCAGAGAGATGTTTGCATCTGTGAAGGGCTGAAAGCAGGCTACTGGCTAGATCAGGAGAGTAAAATGGACACTGAAGAGGAGGCAGGTCGCAGATTATATTATATTATATTATATTATATATTATATATATATTATGTTATATATTATATCATATGTCTCTAAGAGACAAATATTATATTATATGTCTCTAAGTTTTGCTAAGGAGTTTAGAACTTATTTCTATGGCAGTTGAATGCCACTGAAGGTCTTTAAGGAGGGGAATGACATGAGAAGTTTTTCCTGTCCTCTCTCTCTGTTTCAGCTCTTGTAGATGAGAACACCTACTATATCTTTCTTCTAAGTCTTCCTTTCCCTGCACTAAACATTGCCTGTTTCCTCAGCATTCTTCTATGGTATGGCTGGCAGGTAAAGTAGAAGTTCTATTTGGATCAGATCTGTGGTTAGATTCAGGTTTGAATCCCAGTTTTGCAGCATAACTAGCTAATAAAACTTTACATCAATTCCTCAGTTGTAAAATTGGAATGTAGAGAAAACTTCTTATAAGAATACTATGAAAATTAACTGAACTACTGCATCATTATACCATTCTGATCTCCAAAGAAAGATATATCCCAAAGCAGCTATGATCTACACTATATGATCAGTGCATGAGAGGGTAGGATGACTATCACTTATCTTCATCTTCTGAACATAGACTTTAATCCATCTGTTTTCTTGCACTGACATAACAATGACACCCCCTCTTGATTTTTTGTTCATTTTAATTCTTTTAGAATGAAGGAATTGGGAAGTTGTAACCTGGTGAGGCTTTGATGCCAGAGAGACTTGTTTGGTCTCTTGTTTGACCAAGAAAGAAAGATTAGCTTGGCCAAGGGCCAAGCTCCTAACATCCCTTAACCTGTTAGTCTTTTTATATGTAAAATGGGGATGATAAGGTTTTCTGGCAGAATCATTGTAAATATTAAACGAGATCTTTTATACCCACAGTTCTCAACTCTGGCTGCACTTTAGAATCACTTGGAAAATGTTTCACAACATACTATTCTTACGGTCTCACTCCCTGTGTAATTCTTTTGGGCAGCCAGAGAATAGGAACCAGAGGTAAAGATCAGCGGTTTAGAGCAAACTCTTTGTTAGGTACTGGAAAGTGGGGATTTTACTATAATTACTATACATTCTCTTTAATACAGCGAGGGCTCAATAAATATGACCATACAATCTTGACAGTTGAAAGAAGTTAAATCTGGTTTAACCTCTCACCCAATATAAGTCACACATCTACAGCTCAAACCCAGCACCACTAGAAAAGCAGTCTAGGCTCTTCCTGTTACTAGTTGTGGGGTGTTGAATAAGCATTTAACCTCTCTGTGCCTTCTCAACTATAAAGTGCAATACCTACTTCACAAGGTTGTTCTCAGAGCTCAATGAGTTAATACACTAAAGTTTTCAAAGAACAGTGCCTGACACTCACTATATAAAATAGGGATGAATGTATCACTTCCTGAATAAAGGAACAAATGAAAGAACACACCAAAAGACATCAGCTTCAATTTAAACATATCAAGAGAGTGAGCACATTCTGTTAATGAGTACTTTCTATTTCTTAGTAAGCTCATTTTATATTATACGAAATCCCCCTTTCTGCAGTTTGGATCTATTTGGCCCTTATTCTTCTGGGAACACACAGGACAAGTTTTTCTGTTTACTATAGCTATTCAAATAATTGTAGCTGGTTTACTTTCCTCCCCAGATCCTCTTTTCCCAGCTAAAGCATCTCAATTCTTTCAACTACTTCTCACTAACATGCTTTCAACTTTTTTCAGCATCTGGACAGATCAAGAAATTAATTCCCAGTGCATCATATACCTCTCCCAATTTTATATGTACTTTGAAGAACCTGGACACTTTCCAGAAGATATGAACCATCACTTTACTGGTTAGGGACATTGTGTTTTTTCAAGGTAGCCTAATATTACGTTGTATTGCCAGAGTGGGGTGAGCAGGCTCATTATATACTGACTCTTCATAATCCATTTGTGGCCAACTAGAATCACTAAACCTTATTTGTGTGTTCCTAACCATGTCCTATTTTATACAACTAAACTAGCTAGGTTTGGGAGTCTATTTGTAAAACTATCTTACATCTATTTTCATTAGACTCACACTCACTGTTCCAGCCTATGGCTAACCCTGTTAATCAACTCACTAGGTAGACTGTGAAGTTTTGAGTCAACCCTGAAGAAGTATAAAGAAAAAAGAAAATTACAGTACACAGTGATGCAGAGTATGTGTTGCTAGAAGGAGGTTGGCTGGAAGCCAAACAGAGAGCTCCCCAAGGTGACATTACTCAGATTCACTGTCTAGAGATTTCAGAGTCAGTCCTCACTCTCACAAACTCAGTGTGCCAGAGCCACTCACGTTGAGAGTCCTAGGTTCCTGCATAAAAACAGACACTCAGTTTTTACTTTACAGTGTGAAATACAACTGTGGGGAGAATAATAGCTCATGGTTTTGTTTTTGTTTTGTTTTTTAATGTTTACCATGTGTCAAGCAAAGGTCTGAGGATTTTACACATACTGTTTACTGTTTCATGTATTTCTCAAAACTCCATGAGTTAGGTACATTTTACAGATGAGAAAGCAGAGCAGGTACTCTTTGAATTCTTTCCTCTCACCCAACTCATGCAACTGACTTCCAAGTCCTGTTGCCCAGTGCCCAGTTATGCCTTTTGTATCCATTCTCTGCCTTCTAGTCCTACTGTCACCATCCTAGTTCTGGTCCCCATCCTGTCTCACCTCTACCACTACCACAGCCTCATTCTCTCCCTTCTCTGGTCCATTTCTGCACTGCCTCTTATATTTCTAAAACTCAGCTTTTTGTGTGCCACTCTTCTTGTTTAAAACTTCGTGGTTCCTCATTGCCACAGAATAAGAACTCGGATTCCTTGGTGTGGCACAAAGGTCTTCACTGTAAAGTCTGCAATTCATCTCCTGTCACCTTCCCCCTTCCTGAACCCTCCTCAGCCCCTCCTCCTTCCCAAAAGTTCTAGTCAGTAGCCAACTGGGACAACTCAATGGTTGCCTGGACATGCTGCCTACTTGTATGCTACTCTACCCTACTGGGTCTTGCACGTGCTACATACTTGACCTGTATTATCCTGTTTAATTGTAACAGGAAACCATGAAGTAAGCACCACCACCCACCACCTTCCCTGCCTACATGAGGAAACTAAAGTGTAGAAAGTCTACCTGCCAAGTGTCACACCGCTTAGCGTGGGATGGGGCGTCTTGTTGACTGAGAACCCAGGCACTTTCCCACCAACCACCCCACCTCCCCTGCTTTTGGCTCAGCCCGGTCTCAGACTCCAGTTGTCTGGCTTCCTCCCTAGCTAGATTACGACCTCGTTGCAGGCAGGAACCGTGTCCACTATGTATCTGCAGTGTGAAATCCCATTCCTAAGAATGCTGTCACTTCAAATGTTTAGCGAACTGATCCATAGACAGGATAAGGAGTATGTTTCAATGAAGTCCGGAAAACACTAGCTCAGTTTAAGAGAAGTCCAAATAGAGCTCACTGCTCCCTGACTCACTAACAGATTTGAGGGGGAAGTTGTGGGAACTACGAGGCTTACCAAAGGTACTCCGCGGGCGCTCGGCTTTCGCAGTCACAGCATCAGTCCCAGTTCTCCGTTTACAGCGGTTACCATAACAACGCCAATACACCTTCCAGACGGGAGGGGACTGCAGGCGCATGCGCTGCCGGAAGTGACTTTCTGGGTCAGCTCAATCTTATTTGTCCTGTGGCCCCGCCCATTTTGTGGCCCAGGATTCAGGATCAAAGCCAAACAGAAAGTCCAGCATCCAACCAGTTTATCATCCCAGTTTAATATGTATGTCTAGCTAATGATTATTATCCAAGAATGCTCTATTGGTAACTTGAACACTTTGAAAGATATGCCCAATAATACAAAATGGCTCAGTTTCCCTGATCACAGACCATCATCAGCAAAGATATGTCATGGAGATATTTTTGTTTTATTTATTTTATACTATGTTATTTCTGTTGGTCTTTAGGAGTAATATTTTATGTTGTGGGCTCTTTGGTCGCAGGACTCTAAGTGCACAAAATATAGACTTGGCTTGACAGATTTCTCAGTTTAGCAGTTTGTTCTCCCAACTGCTCCGTGGCACAACCAGAGATCATTATTATTTTTAAGCACCTAACTAATGTTACTGGTTACAAAACATTGTTTTTAAATGGCTACAATTTCGCAATATGTGACAAAGAACTTTGCATCCAGAATTTTTTAAAAACCTCATAATTCAATAAGAAAAAAACCTAAAATTTTAAAGGGCAAAGGACTTCAAATACTTCACATCAGATATCTGAACAGTCAATAAACACATGGAAAGATGCATAGAGTAGGCTCTAGAGAGTTGCACACCACAATGCACACATTTCATACTGAGATGGGTAAAAGTTTATAAAAATCGCCAGTACCAAATGTGGAAGGATGTGGAGCAAATGGAACTTTCATATACCGCTATTGAAATGAAAGATAACACAACCACTTTGGACACACCAATTGGCAGTTTCTTTATGTTAAATATTTACCAAGCCATTCCATGTCTAAGGTATTTTCCCAAGAGAATAAAAAATTTGTTCATACAAAGCCTTATATGTGAATGTTCATAGCAGTCATATTCACAATAGCAAAAAAATTGGAAACCACCAAAATGGCTATTGACAGGTGAATGGATAAATATATATACAAAGGAATACTACTCAGAAGTAAAAAGGAAGAAACTGATACACACAACATGGATGAATCTCAATTAGGATGAGTGAAAGAAACCAGGTATGAAATGTTACAGTGTGTGTGATTTCATTTATATAAAATGCAAACAGATCTATGATGATCAAAAGCAGATCAGTGGTTGCCTAAAGCTGGAACAAAGGGAGAGATGCACTGCAGAGAAACAGAAGACTCTTCTGGAGATGTAGGAAATGGTCTTAATTGTGCTGATAGTGCTGTGTGCATACACAACTGCCAAAGTCAATGAATTGTTGTCTTTAAACATATGTATGGATGTATTTTATTGTATATAAATTATTTCTCAAGTTAATAAGAAAAATAGCTATATAATATTCTATTGGTTTCTTTCATGTTACACAATGATTTTCCAAAAACTGTGTATTATGCATTTATTGGTAATATTGGGCTTCCCAATGGTGCTAGTGGTAAAGAATCTGCCTGCTAAGGCAGGAGACCTGGGTTTGATCCCTGGGTCAAGAAAACCACCTGGAGAAGGAAATGGCAACCGACTCTAGTATTCTTGCCTGGGAAATCCCACGGACAGAGAAGCCTGGCAGGCTGCAGTTCATGGGGTCGCAAAGAGTCGGACACAACTTAGCGACTAAATAACAAACTTATTTTTAAACAGCATGTTAGTTGTTTTCAAGTAATATGCTCAACATGTTTTATTCCCACCTTAAAACATCTTTAAAACACTGGATCCAAATATTGAGAAAAACACAAATGCACTATAGAATGTCTTTAAAAATTGAGAAATACAGAGGGACTAGTGCATTTATTTTAACATCCCCAAACTGGCAGTCATTATGGAATGCTTGTGAATCAGGTCCTGTTCATAGCATATTTACATCCATTTATCTCACGTAATCCTCACAACCCTATAAGAAAGGTAATACCTCTATGGGAGAAATTAACTTGACTAAAGGACATAGCCAAAGTAACAAAGTTAGCACATGAACACAAGTTTTCTGATGCCAACACTTGCACCCTTAGCTACCATGTTATTTCTTTTAAGTTAATAGCATGTTATTTCTTTTAAGTTAATAGAAGTCCAATAATTGTTTTAAAAAAGAGCTTCAAGTCCTGGCTTTACTTCTTATAAGCATTTTAACATTGGGTAGCTTATTCCACCTCTAGAGCTCAATTTCCTCATCTATAAAGAAGAGTGGGATGGTATTTAAATATACTCAATTTATAGGTTAACTGTGAGAGTTAAATGTGGTAAGGGGTTACTGCAGCTTAGCACAGTACCAGTCACAGGAATAGATCAATAAAGAACAGCTCTTATCATTATGGTGCTTCCATACCATACATACAGTAAGAGGGCAGCACAGCATAGGTTTTGAAGAAAGACTGCCTAGGTTCCCATCGAGTGCCACCACTGCCAAGTTATGTGACCTTGACAGAGGGCTTACCTCCTTGAACCAGATTTCCTCATCTGCAAAATAAGGGTAATATTAATAGTGGTGTTGTTGTTCAGTCACTTAGTCATGTCCAGTTCTTACGGTGTCATGAAATCATGTGGCTAAAACAGTGCCTGTGCTTAGCAAACAGTAAACTATTATTAAATTTTGCTAATCCAAATGGTTTTGCTATATAGTATAGGAATGATTATATCATAACTGTGGATTTAGCTATCCACATATAGTTTTCCACCCAAGCTGTAATCTGGAGAACTGCAAATTTTATTAAAATATAGCAAGTGATCACTGGCTTTCTGGGGCATATTGGAGAAGAAAACTTGCATCTGAACCCAAGAAACACAAGTAATCTGAGTTTGGACTGTTAAAAGTAAATACAAGTAGTATATCACAGTCAAATACAGCAGAGTTCACTGGTCTGCAATGCTATAGATCCATGGTTCTCAAGTTTTACCATGAACCAAGCCACATGAAAGGCTTTTTAAAAAAGACATCAGAGTTTCTGATCAATAGGTCTGGGGTCAGTTCAGTTCAGTTCAGTCGCTCAGTCGTGTCTGACTCTTTGTGACCCCATGAATCACAGCACGCCAGGCCTCCCTGTCTATCACGAACTCCCAGAGTTTACCCAAACTCATGTCCATCGAGTCGGTGATGCCATCCAGCCATCTCATCCTCTGTCGTCCCNAGCCCAGTGTTTCTCATGATGTACTCTGCATATAAGTTAAATAAGCAGGGTGACAATATACAGCCTTGACGTACTCCTTTTCCTATTTGGAACCAGTCTGTTGTTCCATGTCCAGTTCTAACTGTTGCTTCCTGACCTGCATACAGGTTTCTCAAGAGGCAGGTCAGGTGGTCTGGTGTAGGGCCCCCAAATTTTCATTTCTAGTTAAGTACACCAAGTGATACTGATGCTGCTGGCTGGGGTTCATGTTTTAAGACCCACTGATGCTGTTGGCTCTGAAAGTTGATAAACAGGAGCTAATAAAGGCAGTTTAACTGTTAATTAAAACCAAATATGCACTAATTTATGATTTGGGGATAATAAATATCTTTATAATGATGTTTCCCAAACTTGGCTATTCACTGGAATCATCTCAGGAGGATTTTAATATACTAGTGCTTGTGTCCCCCCACCCCCAGCCCCCCAGAGATTCTAACTTAATTGGTCTGGAGTGAGGACTGGGAATTGGGAACTTTAGAAGGTCCTCAGATGACTCTAATGGCATCTGAAGTTGAGAAGCATTACTTCAGAAGGCCTAAGAAAGAAAGCCTCCTTACTCTGCATCTATTATTATTGAAGTTTTTTCAATCTACTTTTGTATTTTATCAGCAAAAGCAAACATTAACAGGATGAAGACTTACATGCCAGTCCCATAGGTTGCCAGTGAGCTACTGGTAAAAGTTCTTCGCATTGTTTCTCAACTCTGACTGCACATGAAATCACCCTAAGTAGCTTTTAAAAATGTCATGCAAAGGCATCTTAGAGTTTGAAAGGAATATAGATGAAAAAAATAGTCAACAAGTTGGAGAATATGAAAGAAAATATTGAGTTGGCCAAAAAGTTCAACCCAATGTATGTCAAAATAATGCATTCACAAACCAAGCAGGTAACCGGACATTTCAATAATACAAGGAATAACACCAAAATGGTTTGATATGCCAGACAGGGAAAGTATTTATAAATACCAAGTTTTAAAAAGTGCAATACAGATGGAAGAATCTGCAATAATGCAAATGCACACAGATGACTTCACATAAATACAATCAGTGATACCTGTGCTGTCTGAGAAAGTTCCCTCAAGTAGTTTCAATGTGTTTCCCCTTCCCAGTCGCACCTCACTTAGGCTGAGAATTCCTATCATAGAGCCAAGGAACAGAGACCACCCCAAAACTCAAGTTTAAAATAGCAACCAATATGTGAGACCAAACAGGTACCTTGAGAAAAACCTACTCTGAAGGTATAGTAAATTAAAGGCTGGGAAAATGTGCTAGCAACGTTTTGTACTCAATTCTGTCCCAAACATTAAATAAGACATAAATCAATGTTTCTGTACTGAGATATTCAAGCTCAATTGTTATTTAATATACATTACCATAACTAATGTGACATTTTCACATTTGAAGACTATGTAAGAACTTTATAGTGAAGAGAAGACTCTTGAGAGTCCCTTGTACTGCAAGGAGATCAAACCACTCAATCCTAAAATGTTCAGTGTAAGGACTGATGCTGAAGCTGAAGCTTCAGTACTTTGGCCACCTGATGTGAAGAGCTGACTCTTTGGAAAAGACTCTGATGCTGGGAAAGACTGAAGGCAGGAGGAGAAGGTAATAACAGAGGATGAGATGGCATTACTGACTCGATGGACATGAGTTTGAGCAAGCTCCAGCACTTAGAGTTGGTGCTGGACAGGGAAGCCTGGTGTGGTATAGTCCATAGGGTTGAGTCAGGCACAACTGAGTGAACTGAACTGAACTGAAGAACTTTATAATATATATAACCACTCTTACCTGCTTAAGCAAATATAAATAAATACTCCCATGCTTACTTTTTAAAACCATACATTTGCTTGATAGAAAAAGTGATACACACAGTGACTTCCCCAAAAAAGGGGTGTTAAATTTTTCTGAAAGCCAGAATTTAGTCACACAGAGGCATTTTATTGTAAGTTACATGAAAACCAACTTAGTTCTTCAGAAAAAATAAACAACATTTAAGATATACTAGACCAAAAAATTCTGAATAAAGATGATAAAGATAAAAATATAATACTGAAAAAACCCTTGAATTTATTAGAATACACAATTTTAATTTTCCTCTAGTCAAATTTTATTCACAAGGCTACTTGTCGGAAATCTATTTGAAAAGGCGGAAATTAAAATAATTGCTTTATTTCTTGGTTCCGTTAGTGCTAATTCACAAGATCTTTGTTAAGTTTTATCTGAAAGAAAAACATAGAAACTTGATAGCAGGAGCAGGGAAAGGAGAGTATAAGTTCAAGAACATATTACTGAAAACAAACTCTACAACTCGACCTCACTTATGACATGTGAGTAGAAAGAGCAAACCAGCCTTCTTCACTTTGTTTCTCAATCTGTTGAACAAAGATGCAAAAAGACTTTAGAAAGTAATCAGGAGCACAAGACCACTCAAGATTTACAATTATTCATACCAAGTACAAAGAACCAAAGTTATCCTATACCACTGAATGGTACTAAAAATTATCGATACTAGCAATTTTTATTCTGTAACGAGACACTCCCAAATATTCCCTGGTCAACAGATCTCCTTATTGATTTGGAAGGCCTACTTTTTTAAAAAAGGATCAATCCAGTATTTTATGCAAGTCATACATACAACTTTTTAAAAAAACAAAAAGTTATTTGATCTTGGTAAATTAAATCTGTTACTAAATTTCAGAAATTAAGGGCAGATTATATAAAATAGTTTCCATTAAAGCTCTTTTTAGGATGTAAGAAACAGCAAAGAACAGACAAATCTTCCAGGGCTGGGCAACTGGGCTATCTGAGCCTATCAATTAATTTGGACTATAAATACTCAACACTTACTGAAGCACTCACTATCTGGTCTAATTACTGAAGCCAGTAATAAGAATAGCAAAGACCATTCTCCCCCATCAAACAGATGTTAGCTCACATTTGCAAACGTAATGTTTATGATTTTAAAGTTATCCTCACAATTTGCTATGACCAAACAAAGGAAAGTTATTAATATATTTTGCTGTATTACCAACACAGAAACATTCCTTTTGCAAAAAATCTGGATACATTGTAAGAAACTTAGTTTCTATATATTCCTGTAACAAATCAGAATACATAAAAATATGTAAGACATTTATTAACCTTTTGTGCTGGAATTCTCTAAATGTGGCATGAAACCTCTCTGTGGCACACTCAGATATGCACATTGGGGCAAAGTGACAAGGAGAGTGACAGGTCCCAGGGCTCCAGCTATCCCGAGGCCTATAAAGCCACAGCAAGGACTGAGGAAACCAGCACCTCATAAACCCACAACCCACCCAAGACACCCCTGTGTTTCTTGCCACACTGTTTAGATTGCTCTGCAGGAAACAATAATGTCCATCTTTGTTGAAATCTTATTGAATTGTATTCTATTCCTTAATTACCCTAGAAAACAAAAGTGCATGCTTGTTTTTTCTAATGAAGGTGAATTAGTATTTTCTTCTGAACATTTTATTATCTTTAAGATAAGAGGAATAATAATTAAGCATGACCGTTGCCAAATCAACCACCTTCCACTCTTGCCCTCCTAACCTCTACACACATTTCAGAATTACACTTTATCATATACCTTTGCTCTTGGATTAAGAGGCGTCAAGTGTCCACTTCCTGAGGTGGCATTTAAGGGAGAACAAGAATTACTAGCAGCCCCTGAAGATCTATTTAAAAGAAAAAAAAAAGTGAGAGAATAATCTATCATTATTAACCTTTAAAAATGATATAAGACACAATTCTCAATACTGCCAAGAGCTTGAAATGGAATAGCTGACTTAAATCCAAATGAGGTAAATTATTTGTAACATATTTTCACCGACCTAAGCCTTGTTTTAATTAGTAGATTTTCTTTTTTGAAGTATTTTTAGGTTTACAGAAAGACTGCATGGAATGTACAAAGACATTACAGTACCATACAGATAAGTTTTTAATATTAAAAGAGGAAGTACAGATGTGGAGGGGTGGGGGAGAAGGCTGAAGTCATGGAATAGTAATGAGATTTGGAGCAGTGTAGTGGTAGCATGTTGAGTGGACAAAGAGAGCCAGGTACATCCCCATTTACCAACCACATGTCCCATCTAGGCAAACCACCCAATTAGCTGTATGAGCTTTGATTTCACTTACTGTAGAGAACAAAATACTATTGCTCAATTTATCCACACTGTCACATATTACCTCCAAATTTTGTAACCCATAAAGTGCTCCACATATGTGCCATTATCCCATTTTTGTTTTCAATAACCAACACAATGCTTTTCTACGTAATGAAGGATTTTTCCTCACTCCTCTTTTTCCCTGCCCTCCAAATTCTCCTCCCCCCATCACCTGATTTTTCTCTACATGAGTAAATCTATCTGAATCTAAGTCAGACACTATGCACTTCCTTTTTTCACAAAAAGCACAAAACATAAACCATGCTTTTGATTTTAACCCTACCTTCTCGAATTTAGCCCACTAGAAGGAGAGACAGTACTGCATTTTGAGCTTTCTGGGGCTTCTGCTCCTGGAATAGACACCTCAATTGTCCTCTTTCCTCCCTCTGTAATATAAAAATAAACATTTGTTACATTACCTTTCATTACAATGAAAATTAAAATTTAACTTGATTTCTGTCTTATTGCAAATTTTACATTATAAATTTGAGGGTTCTGTCTATATTTTTATTATAATGGCCCACAAATACACTTCAAGGATTTTTTAAAAACAAACTGTGAGACAAAAAATTGTAGTCACTAGTGTCAATTCAGGAGCATGCCAGTTCTTAGAGAGACAATCTTCAGACAAGTGGTATCACATGTCAAAGCCTCAAGCGAAAAACAGAAATTAAGAACTATCCCTAAAGAACAGGAGATCCTGGTTAGAGTGGCTTATCTAAAGCTTTCCCAAAAAAAAAGGAAAAAGAAAAGTTCTGGAGTTACGCTGTAAAACTAAATCTAAATCTATTACATTACTGCCATTACTGAAGACATTAAATTTGGAGGGGAAAGTTGGCTGAAGAGTTCATATGGCCAATGGCAACTATAATTATGTACATTTTCAATATTTCAGAAGTAGATAATCAGTCAACAAATATTTACTAAGTATCTACTCATGAAAGGCTCTCAGTCAATGCTCCTGTGAATCACTGCTTAAAACTAGTGCTTTTTTAAGGGGTAATGACACTCTTTCAATTTTATAACATATTCCTTGGTTACCCTAGAAAACAAGAGGTTCTGCATGGCAAATGATTTATTTTTATCTCTATCATTATAGTCCACAGAGGTTCCTGTGAAACCAAGAATTTCACTTAAGAATACCTTAGACAAATAAGCACTGGAATGGAAAGAACAAGGTCGCAAATCTACCAATTTGCTTTAGAACTTCAGACAAATCACTCAACCTCTTTGTGTCTCGATTTACTTATTTATCAAAGAGTTGTATCAGCTTTGTCTGCTCTGAGTGGTGTCAAAAACTAAATGAGCCAACAAAAATGAAAGTATTACCCTCAAAGAACTACTGAAATACATGTCTCATTTTATCACAGGATTATTCTTAAGAGTGATCTGCTTTATTTTTCTTCACTGTACTTGGCATTAACTGACAGTGTCTCATATATTTATTTGTTTATTTGTATTGTCTGCTCCCCAACTGGAACCCTGGTGTGGTCAAGAGGGCCAGGAACTTGTCCTGTTCGATGCAGTATCCCCAGTGCCCAGAACATGGTGGCACATGGTTGGTATTCATATACATGGAGTGATTTCACTTATTTATTCTAGTCAGAAGTTGTCTCTAGACTTTCTAACTATGAAGAACAGTAGACAAAACTGCAATGTGAAAGGAGCCTAGAATAAACAAAGAGGAAGGGCCTTCGGGAAATGCACTATCCACCACTTTCTAGTACTTTATCCAAATCACTCTGTTTTCTGGGTCTGTTAAGTGTCAAAAAGAAAATAACTCTGAGAATAAAAGTCTTACTGGTAGATCCTTTAAAGGCAACCTACTTTAACCAGCCACAAGATGTAGGAATCTCTAAAACAGCATTGCTTGAACACCTCAGGGAGCACAACACTTACTGATACACAGCTTTGTCTTTTCCTGACAATTAGAACCTTCTCTGTATACCAGGCTCAATTAGTCTCTCTGGAATCTTTATGCAGCTCTACGCTTTAAGGTTCTTAATAATTGAATTTTTGGCTAAAGAGCAACTTGAGGTCTACTTTGTTTCATCAGTACCTTTTAGAATGTGATCACTATGACAACTAATTTTTCACTTATATTCCTATTGTTTAGAATTCCCTCTAGCATCCCACATTCCCTAAATGTAACAATGAATAGAAAGTTTAACTTACAAATGAAAATGTTTTAAAGGCTTTAACAGAATAATAACTTGTAATTTGTTGTTCATGAAATTCTAAAATATCATTTTGATGCTCATGTTTATAATTAGCTGCAGCATATGCCAAAATTGAATCATGTCCTGTAATCGATTCCATTTATATGTAGCACAACTTAGGAACTCAGACACCAAAGATGAACTGCAGGCACCATGAATAGCTTTCCAGAAGCTATAGTGGAGACTGGCCTTCTGGTCCCATTTCTGTCACTGAGGTCTGTTTCTTTCTATATACAACTGAAGACACTGAAATATACGGGCTTGAGATTTCTTTTAACTAAATATATATATACTCATAGTCAAGAAGGTGAAAGTTTCCATGCATCTAAGTTTTTAAATTATGAATTTGTGACTAACCAGACCATGCTCTGAGAGGTGACTGCACAGGTGATACTGGTGGAGAGGAAGGATTCAAGCCAATAAGCTTCTGCTGCTCTATTAACTGCAAGAGTTTTCCACGAGCCTCCATACTCTGTCGATTCAATTCTGCAATCCGTTCCTCCATGCTACTTGGTGTCAGAGGTTGCACCGCTGGAAAATTCTTTAAAAACAAAAAAAGACACAGATACCATGTTAAAAATAATCCAAACAATTCTCACTTTTTGTAAAAATAAACTTTTCCTCTAAGAGCCAGCAAATTAATATTCATAGTCCTTGCTACATGCAAACTTGAATAATGGGCAAACAGTAACAGAATTTACAGATCTCTTAATTTACAAATAAAGGCTAAAGTGGAGGGATACTTGTCCTTCTAATATCAATACCACATAAGCCTTCTAGTCCCTCTGTCCATGTAGAGTGACTATGGGACAAAGCAAAGCTTTCCTGCATCTCTTAGTGTTTGTTGAGCTGCACAAAGACCACATAAGCAAAGATACTACTCTTAGTGATTGACTTCTAAGTAATCCCTATTTAAAGACAGGTCTGGGGTTTGAATCACAATATACACAAGAGGTTCTGTTGTAGTTGAAACAGATGATTCTATAATTATAATCCTCATGCACCATGAGCTATTTGGCAAAGACTTCTAGGAATCGAATCACTCCTTCTGACCACATGTCAGCCCTTCCAGGCTGCTTTTGGCCTACAATACCTGATTTCAGAAGGCTGGTGACTGTAAAAGAATATGGGAAGTAAGAGTAAGAAGGAGCTACTCAAGGAATATCATGAAAGTTTGATGTGAAAATTCCTGAAAGAAATGTATATGTCACTCTTGAGTATTTCATTTAGTTAAATACATCCCTTTGAGGGAAAATCAACTCCTAATAGAAGTCACTAATTTGCAGTTTACACTCATTAGTTAAAAAAGAGACAGCAAAATAGTACGAATTAAAAAAATAACAAAAAGAGTAGTGAGCACAATAAAACTAGATTGTCCTCTCTTGCCCGATTGCTACCCCAGTGGGAAAAGGGGGCAAACTCAATTTTTAATTCTGTGGTCTTTTTAAAACCAAGAGTTGCCTACTTCAAATAATCTTCAAAACTCTGCAAACACAGAAATGTTTCCATTGACTAGAACTGAGACGGTATGTATTGATAACCGCGGCCCACTCCTGATCTCCTTCTCGGCTTCTTCTGCCAATCCCTTCTGATGGCTGTTTCTGTGACTCAATATTCACATTCCCCCTGAGCCAGTGCTGACAGATGGCCCTCACCCCCACTCTCTTTCAACCTTCTTCATAGGGATCCTCAATCCACTGCTGCTAAAGCCCTTATGGAAGCCATCACTATGGATCCCCTAATCCACAAAGCTGGCCAGCTCCTTCCCATGGCCCCGTCCCCATCAGAACTCTCAGAGGTGCCACCCTGGCTTCGTTGCAAGGTAAAAGGAAGTCTCTCCCATCACTGGGATCAGCATGAAGGCATGTTTCACAATTGGAACTTAGAGTCCCTTTTCTCCCCATAAACAAGGCAATGAAGGTTTACATTGCTAGGTCAGCCTGCAGTGTACTTAACTTAGAAAATTTCAGCACAACAGTATGTAGACATTTTTTTATTTTTTTGCCTTTTTTAAAAAACTTAACTTCTTTTTATTGAAGGATAATTGCTTTACAGACTTGTGCTGTTTTCTGTCAAGCCTCAACATGAATCAGCCATAGGTATACATATATCCCCTCCCTTTTGAGACTCCCTCCCATTTCCCTCCCCATCCCACCCCTCTAGGTTGATACAGAGCCCCTGTTTGAGTTTCCTGAGCATACAGCAAATTCCCATTGGCTATCTATTTTACATATGGTAATGTAAGTTTCCATGTTACTCTTTCCATACATCTCACCCTCTCCTTTCCTCTCCCCATGTCCATAAGTCTATTCTCTATGTCTGTTTCTCCACTGTTGCCCTGTAAATAAATTCTTCAGTACCATTTTTCTAGATTCTGTATATATGTGTTAGAATATGATATTCATCTTTCTCTTTCTGACTCACTTCACTCTGTACAATAGGTTCTAAGTTCATCCACCTCATTGGAACTGACTCAAATATGCTCAGTGTGTAGGCTTTTGCTCCTCAAAATGTAATCCTCAGACCAATATCATTTGAAATTTATTAGGAACGCACAGGTTCTACCTCAGACCCACTCAATCAGACACTGCATATTAGCAAGATCCCCAGATAATTCATATACATTAAAGTCTGACTTCAATAATTCTTTAAAACATCATTTCCATATGAGAATGCATTGTGTCCTAAAAAATTAACTACTCATGAGTTGAGGGCCAACTACATGCAACTCTCTTTTATGAGCCCCTTTGAGAGTAAAAATGATTTCAACTAAAATGCAGTTGTGGGGCAAATGTTCAAAACATATTTGTTCTACATTCTATATTAAAAATTTCATTCCTAGCTTAATTTTAGCTTTTCTACCCATTTTACTTTTGTCCTATTTTCCTCATTCATTTTCCCATTTAAATTTTATGTTGTCTTCTTCTAACGTGTGTGACATAAACTGATAAAAAACCTCTACTTATTTTGTGATGAAGACATGACAAAGCGTAAGTCCTCTAGTACCAGCCTCAAAGATATCCAGGATCATTTCTAGATGGTCCCGTAATAAACTTAAATTCCCACACATCTGGAGTCAATCCTTAACTGGTACTCACAGCCATCGTGTCACTGGCGTGACTTGTCTCCTGTCTGTTAAACTCCCGAAGTCCGTCCCCTTGTTCTCCCCTTGGACCAATAATATTACTCAGATGTGCCCTGATAGCTGAATTCTGCAGGGTCAACTCTGCAATTCGTGCCATGATGTCCTTTCTCTGTATTAATGTCTCATTTGTTCTAAGCTGTTGCCCATCTCCCAACACCAGGGGTTCTTCTGAGAGTGTGGGGTTTCTTGATTGCTGCATGCTTGACCGCGAACTGCAGACAGGTTGTGAGAGGCTAACAAAAGGAGCCTGGGTTTTGCTCTGCAAGTCTTCTCCCATGTGAGAGGCCCTCCACCTCTGAGTGAAGAGGTGACTCTCGTCACTTGAGTTCTGAATGTCTGCGCCAACAGGTAAGGTCTTCTTTTCCCAATTTTGTTCCTTTTCAATTAATTCTATGGTTGGAGGAATTCGTGGAGCAGGACGAGTTTGAACAGTCCTCCTCAATACTGTAGATACAGTTAGAACATAACAAACATGTATTGTTGAATCACAGTTGGCACTATAATCATCTCATAACCCACCCCCCCACTTAGTAGTTAGCATTTGAGAAGCATTTCAAAGGAAGGATTTGGTTTCTGAATGCCTCAATTATTTTAACAGGGAATATACCAGCAATACTACTCCTAATAATCAAGTACAGAGTCTTTTATAGTCCTTAGAGCTTTATCAGCAACCTTGTGAAAAACCATCTACCTAGTTCACATTTTAACACATATATTAAACTCACATCTGGGAATTCTGGGGGGAGTATAGACACGTAATGTAAACTAAAGATGGATGGGGAAGTATCTCTGAAGAAGTAAACTTTTTATTTACTTTTTTGCTTTGTATTTTGGGAGGTTTTTTTGGCCACTCTATGTGTGGATCTTAGTACCCCTATCAGGGCTCGAACCTGCAGCCCCTGCATTGGGATTACAGAGTCGTAACCATTGGTCCATCAGGGAAGTCCCAAGAAGTAACACTTGAATGATTACATATGTGGCAGAGAGTGGAGCAAAGACCATTACAATCAGAGATAACAACATATGTGAAGGCCCCAAAATAGGAAAGAGCAAAGAAAGGAGCCCAGTCTGTCTGTAGCATACCAACAAGGGAGCATCGGGGAATACAATATATAAGACTAGAGAAGCATGCAGGGGCCATTTCTCACAGAGCTTTTTAAGCCATGTTAGAAATTTTATAATTTAATCCAAGAGCAATGAAATCTGGAGAAGGTTTGTCCACAACTCAATTTACATAATTTACATTTACTAAATGCTGTAGAAATTAGAAGGTCCAGGAAGAGAAGCAGGGAGACCAGCAAGCAACTGTAGTAGTCAAGAAGAAAGATGATGGTAGCTTTGACTAAGGTATGTTGGCTATGAAGAAGGAAAGAAGTAGACACATTCGAGAAATATCTTGGCAACTGAACTACAAATGATGCACTGAAAGCAAGAAGTGAGGGAAAATGCAGAGTATGACAGCATGCACAAATGAATGGATGGCGATGCTGTTTAGTAAGATGGAGCCCATCAGGAGAACAGATTTAGGGGAAGGAGGATTATCAAGAATTGTTTTGAACATGCTAAGCTTAAGGTGCCTATATATCAATCCAAGGAGATGAAACATGGGTCAGAAACTCAAGAGATCATCTAGGCGAAGATCTAAAACTGGAGGTCACTGGCATATAGAAGGTATTGGAAGCCACAAACACAGTGAGATTATTTAGACAGAAGTAATAGTGAGAGAAGAAACCAGTATCAGGACATGAAGAACTTAATATTGAGAGTGAGGTAGGTAATAGCAACCCACTCCAGTGTTCTTGCCTGGAGAATCCCAGGGACAGGGGAGCCTGGTGGGCTGCCGTCTATGGGGTCGCACAGAGTCAGACACGACTGAGAGACTTCACTTTCTTTCACTTTCAAAGTATTATTTGCTTGGGCTCCAAAATCACTGCAAACAGTGACTGCAGCCATGAAATTAAAAGACACTTGCTCCTTGGAAGAAAAGCTATGACAAACCTAGACAGCATATTAAAAAGCAGAGACATCACTTGGCTGACAAAGGTCCATAGTCAAAGCTGTGGTTTTTCTGGTAGTCATGTACGAATGTGAGAGCTGGACCATAAAGAAGGCTGAGCACTGAAGAACTGAGGCTTTCAAATTGAGGTGTGGGAGAAGACTCTTGAGAGTACCCTGGAGAGCAAGGAAATCAGTCAGTCCTAAACGAAATCAGCCAGTCCTAAACCAAATCAATCTTGAATATTCACTGGAAGGACTGATGCTGAAGCTAAAACTCTAATAACTTTGGCCACCTGATGCAAAGAGCCAACTCATTAGAAAAGACGCTGATGCTGGGAAGATTGAAGCCAGGAGAAGGGGACAACAGAGGATGAGATGATTAGATGGCATCACTGACTCAATGGACATGAGTTTGAGCAAGCTCTAGGAGATAGTGAAGGACAGGGAAGCCTGGTGTGCTGCAGTCCATGGGGTTGCAAAGAGTTGGACGCGACTGAGCAACTGAACAACAATACCCCTGGACCATACAGACAAATGGGATATCCCCTTACTCTGCATTTCATTGCTGAGAACTTGGTCCTTTGATCTGAGTTTAACTGACATTTACAAGGCCTGATAGAACAGATACATGATGAAATTCACTGTCACATTTCACCATAGGTATAATGCACATGATATAAACCACTCTGAAAAACTCTCCTTCAGCTAAAAGGTTAAAATGATCATCAGTACCTTTTCAAATCTTGTTTATAAGGGAACAATGAACATACTGTATGACATATATGAAGCAAAGAAAAACAACTGCCATATAACTTTAGAAGAAGCCTGCTTACCGTCCTGCAAAGGAGAGAATTCTGAGTTGCTCTTCTGCCTGGGTGGTGTTAACAACACTGCTGGCTCAAATATATGTCCTGGAAGATTGCTGGCCAGGTTCTCACTTTCTGGAGGGTTTGGCACCTGAGACAGTTTGACAGGCAGATCTTCCTGTGGGAACTCAACGATGTCTTCTCCTCTGAACATCAGTGGCACGGAGACACTAGCCTTTACAGCTGGGTCCTCTGAAGATGAGAGGTTATTAGTACTCAAAGGAATTATGAGCACACTTCAGGCACTTAGACATAGGTGCATTTCCACAGAGGGCAAAATCATGTGGCCTCTGGAGCCCTCACTTTCTAGTCCATACCCTCACTGAGCAGTCACTCACAAGCCAAGCTCCTGTGGTGCCAGCACTGGGAGGAAGTGGCTATTTTGGAGAAAAGCACTGCCCTTGAAGATCTGCCCTCACCACTGAGTTTACGTCATGCAAGTTAAATTTTAGAGTCAGCCACTTCTAAGAAAACAGAGACACGCATCAAAGTAAAAAACACAAAAAATGCTCAATGTCCTATTTAGCCTATAGCATATGATAATGGCAGACGAGGTGAAGACAGGCTTTCAAAGCATCACCATGAATGAACTAAGGTCACGAATTTCTGAAATTCAGTATTTTTTTCTTCTCAAGACCATCTCTTCCCCTCCAAACCAGGGGTACCCTAATTAAAGGTGCTGGCACTAAATTCCCACATGTCTAGGAAGCTAGTTGTGCTACTTTCTATTTCTGTGACTTTATTAAGTTACCAACCCTCTCTCCAAGCCTTAGTTTTCTCATCTAAAAAGTGGGGATAACAATGACACCTATCTCATAAGACTGAGTGAAGAACTCTTTTGAAAATTAAATGAAAGCTATATTATGAGAATTAAATGAGATAATGCATGTAAAACACTGCAAAAGAACCTGGCATAGAGCAAGTATCCAATAAATATTAGCTGGAATAATTATGGCAAATATAATGGTGATAATGCTACCTATCCATGAACAGACAATAGTTACATTTAACTATATAGTTACATATAAATTTACATTATATAGTTACATATAAATAGTTACATATAAATTTATAGTTTTGTTTTCTCTGAAAGTATTTTAATGCCCATCTGGGATAGTAAGATTATTCCACTCACCTGGATTATCCATATTTCTCTGACTTGTGGCTCCCCTTTCTAAGGCCTGACTTTCTTTGTTACTTATCACAGGACAGTTCTTAATAGCATGTGTGAGTGATATAAGCTGCTCATCTGTTGTGATCATGTACTGCTGAAGTCTCGCCTAGAGAAAAATGAACAAAATAATATCATTGGCTTATCAGAAAGCAAATCACCTAGGTGTGTTTAACTATATCATTGTTTTAAATATTCTAGGAATTTCGGCCTTTTATTTAAATACTAAAACCATGCATTCATGAAAATATATAATTATGAACATTTTTCAAAATTCTTTGATAGAAGGATGGTTAAATAAATCATGGAATATTATTAATAAATAAATACACTGCTACAACAGTAAGAATGAACCTTTTCATAGGGCTTTCAATTTATAAAATCTCTTTTATAATAGATTTCATACCTATTGACTGATGATGATACCTACTGACTCTTAAGCTACCCCAAAAGACCAAGGAGGAAACTCAATAGAATATTATTCAGGTACTTAAACTGATAAACATAAGCATTATAAAAGTGTATGGTAATGCATATAAAATAGTGTTAAGAGATTATATATATGTATATGTGTATTATATATTACAGTTGACACTTGAACTAGACAGGGTTAGGGGCATCGACACTCTGTGCAGGTAAAAGTCATGTATAACTACCACTGGCCCTCCATATTCAAGGTTCTGCATCCACAGATTCAACCAGCCACAGACTGTAGTACATATATATTGAAAAAAACTCACATATAAGTGAACCAGCACAGAAGAAACTGGTGCAGTTCAAGGATCAACTGTACATATAAAGAGACATACATAGCTCCAACATGAACAGACATTTGTTAAATGTCGGGTGCAGTCAGAAGTCAGAAATATTATTAGTAGGACTGTTGAATGATATATAATAAACATTTTTATATTTGTCCAAATTTTTCCCAAAATCCACATCACATATCCAATAGATCCCTCAACATCTCCACGAGGAACTCACATAAGCTTCTCAAACTTAAAATACAAAAAAACCAACTCCTCGTAAACATTCCTGCCTCATCAATAACAACTCCATTCTTCCAACTGCTCGGGCCAAAACTCTGACTCTTCTTTCACATCTTCTCCTTCACTCCATATCCTGTCCATCAGCAAATCCTACTGGTTGACTTCAAAATATATTCAGAATTTGGTTACTTTTCACAACCTATCCCACTTACAACCTATCCCACTTACAACCAAGCTGCCATGTCTCACCTTAATTATTCTGGACTCCTGTCTGTAATATTCTACTTCTGTGTTTGACCACCTACAGTCTAGTCCTACACTGCTCCCAACCTGCACCCTGGAGCACCAATATGGACTCACGGGGGCACCACAGGACATTTTTTAAATCGCAAGGAAACTGCTGATGCTCAATATCTGTCAGGTACTAGTGACCTACTAGCTCGAAGTGTTCACAGATTCAACATTAGATCAAGATACACCCCTTTTGATGATACCATATCTTCCTAAGGCTGAGTTTTCAGTAGCTGCCATGCTAAAAAAGCAACACTGCATAAAAATAATTATGGAACAAGAAATAAGAGTGATGGTGTTCAATATGATTCCAGGCTATGAGAAGCTGTACAATGCCCAATAGGTATACATGTTCCATTAGTAAATAACTATGGTTATTTAATCATGAATAAAAAAATAAAATACTTTTTCTATCAGTTTTCATGTATTATTTTTTTCACACAGCATCTAAGTTGTTAATGCACAAATACTTACTGTGGTGATGGAATTCCAATTGAGCTATTTCAAATCCTGAAAGATGATGCTGTGAAAGTACTACACTCAATACGCCAGCAAATCTGGAAAACTCAGCAGTGGCCACAGGACTGGAAAAGGTCAGTTTTCATTCCAATCCCAAAGAAAGGCAATGCCAAAGAATATTCAAACTAACGCACAATTGCACTCATCTCACACGCTAGTAAAGTAATGCTCAAAATTCTCCAAGCCGGGCTTCAGCAATACGTAAACCATGAACTTCCAGATGTTCAAGCTGGTTTTAGAAAAGGTAGAGGAAACAGAGATCAAATTGCCAACATCCACTGGATCATTGAAAAAGCAAGAGAGTTCCAGAAAAACATCTATTTCTGCTTTNCTGAAGAATTGATGCTTTTGAACTGTGGTGTTGGAGAAGACTCTTGAGAGTCCCTTGGACTGCAAGGAGATCCAACCAGTCCATCCTAAAGGAGATCAGTCCTGGGTGTTCACTGGAAGGACTGATGCTGAAGCTGAAACTCCAATACTTTGGCCACCTCATGGGAAGAGCTGACTCATTGGAAAAGACCCTGAGGCTGGGAGGGATTGAAGGCAGGAGGAGAATGGAACGACAGAGGATGAGATGGCTGGATGGCATCACTGACTCGATGGACATGAGTTTGGGTAAACTCCGGGAGTTCGTGATAGACAGGGAGGCCTGGTGTGCTGCGATTCATGGGGTCACAAAGAGTCAGACACGACTGAGTGACTGAACTGAACTGAACTGAATATATGGAGCCGCTGGGTATTTTCTTTGGCCTAGGGGTGTCCTGAGACACTAAGGTCACTGTAAACAGAGACAGGGCGGTGATCTCTGATCTGATCTCAAAACAGCCGCCCAGAGTGATTCTCTTAAAACTGAATTAAATCACATCTCTTCCCAAATCCCTTCTGCGGTTTCCTATTTCATTCAGAACAAAAGTCCAAGCCCTCACCCATCCTGCAGGGCCCCTGTGATCTGACTTCCTGCTCCTGTCTCCTCCTGTGCACCCTCTCCCACATCCCACCCCTGCCACCCTGGTCTCCTTGGTGGCTTTTGAGCTCAACAGCTATGCTCCCACCTCAGGACCTAAGCCCTTGCTGCTCCTTTGCAGTGAGTGCTCTTTGCTCAGCTATTGGCAGGCTTGCTCTCTCATCTCCTCAGACAGACATGTCCCATCCCATTTATACCCTCCCATCCCAAACCCTTCCCATCCCTCTTACTAGCTTTGTTTTACTTTATGATACATAATAACCATCTAACTAACAATATACTTCACTTTTTAGGGGGCAAAGTTTATTTAGAATGTAAGTTCCTTGAAGACCAAGATTTTTTTGTCATTCACTACTCTATTTCCTGAACCTGGAACAGTGCCAGATACACAGTAAGTACTCAATAAAGATTGCTGAACATATTAGTACACTTTAAAAGTGCCTATCTTCCTAAGAGAATTGAAGATATATCCTGACACAATTGGGGCTTCCTAGGTGACACTAGTGGTAAAGAACCCACCTGCCAATGCAAGAGATGTAAGAGACATGGGTTTGATCCCTGGGTCAGGAAGATCCCCTGGAGGAAGGCATGGCAACCCTTCACTGTTCTTACCTGGAGAATCCCATAGACAGAGGACCCTGGTGGGCTACAGTCCATAGGATCGCAGAGTTGGACACGACTGAAGAGACTTAGCATGCATGCACGTTCACACAAATACTTGTACATGAACATCCACAGCAGCATTATTCATTCATCATACCAAAAGGGAGAAACAACTCAAATGTCCTTCAACTAATGAATGGATAATCAAAATGTGGTAGAGCCCATACTAGATTATTGAGCAATAAAGAGGAATGCAGTACTAACACACAGGACAACATGGATGAACCCTGAAAACATGATGTGCTGTGAATGAAGCCAGACACTAAAGACCACATACTGCATGATTCCACCTAGATAAAATATTCAGATTAGGCAAATCTATAAAATCATACAGCAGATTTGTCGTTTCCAGGGACTGAAGGGAGTAGAGTGAATGATAATGTGTGTGGAATTTCTCTCTGGGGTGATATACTCTGGAGTTAGATAATGGTACTAGCACAGAAAAAAACACCAAACTGCACACTACAAAACGGTGTGTTAAATGGTATGTGAACTATATTTAGAGTCTGTCATATAGAGTGAAGTAAGTCAGAAAAAGAAACACAAATATCATATATTAATGCATATATAAGGAATCTAGAAAAATTGAACTGATAAATATATTTGTAGGGCAGGAATAGAGACACAGACATAGAGAATGGACCGTGGACACAGGAGGGGAAGGAAAGGGTGGGATGAATTGAGAGAGTAGCACTGACATATATATACTACCATGCATAAAACAGATAGCTAGTTGGAAGTGCTGTATAGCACAGGGAGCTCAGCTTGGTGCTCTGTGATGACCTAGAGCGGTGGGACGGTGGGGGTGGGAAGGAGACTTAAGAGGGAGGGAATATATGCATACATATAACTGATTCTTGTTGTACAGTAGAAACTAACACAACATTGTAAAACAATTATACTTCAATTTTAAAGAAATTGTATGTGAATGATATATCAATGAAAATCACATGCCTTGTATCTAATGCCCATTGACACAAACACAGCTTGTCTACTACTGATTTCCTAGTCTCTTGTGGCTGATAAATAAAAGTATCAGTAACTATAACCACTGTTTAACACAAAGATTAATAAAGATACTGAAGATACTATAAACAACTTTAAATGGCATATATTATAGGAAGGTTCCTCACAGGGTATCCTCTGTTATTTAAAATGAAAAGCAGCTGTCATAACACTCATTTCACATATTGGATAAACCACTATAATATGAGTAGTTTTTATTTAAACATAGATTCTGTCTTCCCCAGTAAATATAAGTTTCTTAAAGACAGGGTATTTATTCTACACTATTTATAATTCAAGTTTTTACTACAGTACCTCCAATATAATAAATGTTCTTGAAAAGTTACTGCTGAGGATACTAAAGAAATGATAAATAATCACACCAGCACAACTAAATCAAAGGCAACTAAAAGAGAATCTCATACACCTGTAAAGATGTTTTATACTACTAAACACAGAAAAGTTTTGCATCTCATCTAAATACCTGGGTAGCAGTATTTTCTTCTCTGAGGAAAAGAACTTCAGCTGTCAGCGCATCAATGAGCTCTCGATGATCACCTAACGCTTGTTCCAGTTGCTGCCTTGTCTCTACTTCTTTACGCAGTTGAAGCTCACTCTACCAAAAAAAAAAAATCAAATAAACTCCCCTCCATAACATCACATGTTGCAAACTAAAAGTTTCTAATCAAAGCTATCAAAGAAGAGAATACTTACAAAGTATATATTATGTGACAGTAATAAAAATTAAATATTTTTATTAAAAGGTTTATATTTCATTGAAATGTGCTGCTTTATCATCTTCCTTTCTTTAAATATAAAACAATGAACAGAATGACGTGTAAAATCAAACAACTACAATTTTTGTAGAAGAGAGGAGAAGGAAGTACATATACAAACTGCTTGAATACATGCAGGCCATTTCAAGGACAGACTGATAATGACAGTTGGCTACAGGAAGTAAACAAGTTAAGTGAAAGTCAGGGGTGGGGATTTTTCACCATACAGTCTTTTGTTATCTTTGAATTGCATACCATGGTAAATGTATCACCAGTTCAAAAATTAAGTTTCTTAAAATGTAATTAAAAATAAAAAACAGGCTTAAATGATTAAGCTTCGTAAAACAAGTGATTAACTAAAAAGTACATGCTTCTAAGCCTGTAATATGTTCAGAGAGCCAAAAGTACACTCCTAGAGATTCCTAATTTATAGATGTTAAGAATGTTAAGACTGTCACAAGTCTGACAGTAAAACAAATTTGTAAAAAGCAAATTTAGATAGATCTCCCCAAGACGGTGAAGTCCTTCTGAACCTGAGGTCACCTCCTATTATGAAAACACCAAAATCACAACTAACTGCTGAATAACCATCTACAGACAAAAAAGATATTCTACTTTCAAAAACAAAGAAGCAGCCACAACAGGATTGTAGGAGGGGTGCATTCATGATACAATCAAACCCCATCACCTCTGAGTGGGCAACCCACAAACTGGAAAATAACTATATCACAGAAGTTCTCCCAAGGGAGAGTTCTGAGTCCGACATCAGGCTCCCCAGTCTGGCATCAGGAGGAGGAGCCCCCAGAGTATTTGGCTTTGAAAGCCAGTGGAGCTTGACCACTGGAACTGCACAGAACTGGGAGAAACAGAAATGTCACTTTTGGAGGGCACATGCAAGGTAATCATGCACACCAGGACCCAGGGGAAAAAGCAGTGACTTCATAGGAGCCTGTGCCAGACCTACTTGCTGGTCTTGGAGGGTGTCTCAGGGAGGTAGATGGTGGCTTTGGCTCACTGTAGAAACAAGGACATTGGTTGTGGAGGTACTGGGTATTCACTGGTGTGAGCTGTCCTGGATACTACCACTTTGATGCCAAGACCTAGCTCCACCCAACAGTCCGAAGGCGCCAGTGGTGGGATGTCTCAGGCCAAACAACCAACGGGGCAGAAACACAGCCCCACCCACCAGCAAACAGGCTGCTTGAAGTCTTCCCGAGTCTACAGCCATCTCTAAACACACCCCTTGACACAGCCCTGCCCACCAGAGGTACAAGACTCAGCTCCACCCACCAGTGGCAGACACCAGTCCCTCCCACCAGGAAACCTCTGAGAAAAGCTTCATCTACTAGGAGGCAGAAACCAGAAGAGAAACTATAATCAAGCACCCCATGGGACCACAAACACAGAAAGTTAGACAAAATGAAACAGCACAGGATTATGTCCCAGAAAAAGGAATAAGATAGAGCCCCAGAAGAACAGCTAAGTGAAATGGACAACAACATCTGAATTAAAAACCTGCAACAAACAAAAGCCCACGACTGGATGGCTTCACAGGTGAATTTCATCAAACATTTAGAGAAACGTTAATGTCCATGTTTCTGAAATTATTTCAAAATCTGCTGAGGAAGGAACCCTCCCAAACTCATTCTATGAGGCCACCATCACCCTGATACCAAAACCAGACAAAGATCCAACAAAAACTAAAAATAAGAATCAGCATGTCTGAGCAATTAACACTTTTTTTTTTGGTGTGCATTGTCTCACTTATTACCCTCCCAAAAGTTAAACTAATGCATACTTCACAAGCGGAGTATTTGTACCTTCACCAACTTTTGCAAATCTTAGGGTGGAAAATGATATTCCATTGTTATTTTAATTTTCATTTCTTGACTACTAATCAGGTTGAATACCTTTTCATGTGTTTTTTTGGCAGTTTGTTTCTTCTTTTGAAGTTGTGCTGTTCATGAGTCTTCACTTACTTTTGGGGAAGAGAAGATTACTTCTCTCTTTTTAAATTGATATATAAGAATTCTTCAGAAAATAGAGATACTAACTTCTTTTGCTCAGTCATGTCAGACTCTGCAATCCCATGGACTGTAGTCCACTAGGCTCCTCTGTCCAAGGAATTCTCCAGACAAGAATACTGGAGTGGATAGCCATTCCCACCAACATTTTACATAAATATTCCTTTTGACCTAGCTGATAAGCTTGTAGAAATAAACAAATGAACAAAAATTAATATACATTATTTCTTTTTCCAGGTTAGCTTATTTTAAAAGTTTTAATTATATCCAAATGACAAATTAAATAAATAGTAGTACAGCCATATAACTGCATACTCTTAAGCACTGGAAAAGAAAAAGAAATCTATATGTATTAGCATAGAAAGATGTCCATGAAATATTTTAGGTTGAAAAAATTTAAAGAAGAGTGGATCTAATGTGATTTATCTATAAGATTTATCTGTGCTAATATATGAGTTTATTAGACACATCAAACGATTTCTGGAAAACCATACATAAATTATAGCAATGGTCATGTCTGTGGGTTAAAATTAAAAGGAATTTCACTTTCAAAAAAAAAAGAATCAGCATGTGTGATACAGATTTAGTATAATTAAAACCACATTGTGGCTTATAAAAAAAAATCCAACAAAAAAGAAAATTACAGGATGATATCACTGATGAACACAGACACAAAAGTATTCCACAAAATACTAGCAAACTGAATCCAACAATATGTTAAAAGAATCACACACCATTAGCAAGTGGGATTTATCCCAGGGATGCCAAGGATTTTTCAGCATCTGCAAATGATTCCTCATGAGATACCATGTTAACAAACTGAAAAATAAAAACCATATGATCATCTCAATAGATGGAGAAAAGCTTTTGTCAAAACCCAACATCCATTTATGATAAAAAACTCTTTCAGAAAGCAAGCACAGAGGGAATCCTGCCTCAACATATTAAAGGCCATATATGCAAACCCACAGCTAACATCATACTCAACAGTGAAAAGCTGAAAGAATTTCCTCTAAGATCAGGAACGAGACAAAGATGTTCACTCTCACCACTTTTATGCAACATAGTTTTGGAAATCCTATCCATGGTTATTAGAGAAGAAAAAGAAACAAACAAAATCCAAATTGGATAAAAAGAAGTAAAACTGTCAAATTTGCAGATTACATGATACTATACACAGAAAATCCTAAAGATGCTTAGAGATGGGAATGGCAACCAACTCCAGTATTCTTGCCTGGAGAATTCCATGGACAGAGGAGCCTGACGGGCTACAGCCCATGGGGTCACAAAGAGTCAGACACAACTGAGCAATTAACACTACTACTATACACAGAAAATCCTAAAGATGCTAGCAGAAAACTACTAGAGCTCATCAATACATTTGGTAAAGTTGTATTATATAAAATTAATACATTTCTATACACTTACTATAAAAAGTCAAAAAGAAATTAAGGAAACTATTCCACTTACTATCACATCAAAGAGGAAAACACCTAGGAATAAACCTACCTAAGGAGACAAAAGACCTGTATAAACCATAAGACACTGATAAAAGAAATTGAAAATGACAGATAGAAAGATATACCATGTTCTTGGATTGGAAGAATCAATATTGTCAAAATGACTATACTACCCAAAGTAATCTACAGATTCAATGTAGTTTCTATCAAGTTACCAACGTCATTTGTTGCAAATCTAAGACAAAATAAAATCTTAAAATCTGTACAGAAACACCAAAGTCCCCAAATAGCCAAAGCAATCTCTTTTAAAACATATTTGGCTGCATCAGGTCTTAGTTGCAGTATGTGGGATCGTTGTTGCATCACAGGGATCTTGCATTGCAGTGTCCTCTCCAGTTGTGGCATACAGGCTCCAGAGCACACAGGCTCAGTAGTTGTGGCACACAAGCTCAGCTGCTCTGCGACATGTGGGATCTTAGTTTCCCAATCACAGATCTAACTTATGTCCCCTGCATTGCCAGGCAGATTCTAAACCACCGGACCATGAGGGAAGTCCCTAGTCAAAGCAATCTTGAGAAAGAAAAATGGAGCTGGAGGAATCAGAAAAGAATTTTCCTGATCTGTGTCTACAGATCACAAGTATACCACTCACCAAACTGAACTGAAGTGGGTAGAGCAAGCAGAGAAAAGCAGTAGAATGAGGACATGATTAGTAGTTTAATTAATCCATAACTGCCAAACAGTAATATTAACTATTAGCACAAGATATAATTTTATTTAAGCAGATTGACCTAACTAATTATCACTTAGTTATTACCTATTTACCAAACTAAAATCAACACCACTTATCTGGCATATCTTTATCGGGATGTAGAGAAAATTAAGAGGATAAACCTTTCCAACAGATAATCCAAAGCTGAGCCATTTTAAACAAAGTTACTCAAACTCGACTATACTTTATTTGGAGAATGCAATAATTTAAGTGTAGAGGGGGAAAACCTACCCAACTCTGCCATCAGTCTAGTAGGAGAGTAGGCTCTAATAACCTTACCTCTTTAAGGTACCGAACCAGGCGACAGAGTGAGCTCACGAGGGACAGGGTGAAGCCAGTGAGACCCTGACTATTTTGCAGTCCCTGGACCTTGCGGCCTGTCCACCGTTCATATTCTTCTATTTCATGTTCCACTTCATGTATCATGTGTTTGAGGACATCCAGGCTGGGGTTACTGCTACTTGGTAAGTCTGTGGAGGCTGTGCTGGCTGATAACACATTATTCTTCTGTTTGGAAGGACCACATGAATCTGGTTTTCTTTTCACTGATAATGACAGAAGTCATTCTATGTTAAGACCAGGAAAAATTAAAACTACAGAAATGTTTAAATGTTGCTCACAGTTTATAAAAGGTTTTTTTTACAGAAGGTATCATCATTTTCTCATAAAGAATCTATACTGTTTAAACCGATTTATACTATCTATAATAAATGAATGAGAATCATCCTTCTAGAGTTACATGGAATAAAAGGAAGCACTAAATGGCTACCATTCAACAACCTCTTACTATGCAGGATCTGACTGGATGAGTTTGAGAGACATGTACTAAGAGGCTAAGATAGCTATATCAAGTTACATAGTTTGATTTTTTTTTTTAATGCTTCCAAAACAGAGAATTTATTTATTTTTAAATGTGTATAACCTCCCTATCCCACCCCTCTGTAGGTTGATACAGAGCCCCTGTTTGAGTTCCCTGAGTCATAATAACCCACTGTGTCAATTAAGAGACTGAACCTTTATTTAGCAGCTGTTTTTGCTTCCTTGAGTTCAGCACCTGTCCCACAACACAGCTTGAGTCTAGAGTCTCAGTAGATTCTTCAGGTTGAAGCCTCGTATGGATTCTCTTAACAGCATTGGCAGCATTCAATGCAGCTACAATTCCAAAAGAATCTCAAGTAAACAACAAAAAAAATTTTTAAGCATTTCAATCAACAGGTCAATCAGTATTTACCAATCAGGCTAAGACAGTAAAAACTCAAGTGACATTCCTTTAAAAATTACTGGGTTTAAGAAAGAAAGTAAGCTACTACTCTGGGAGAAATAATACAGTGGGGGACCAAACCTTTTTGTTCTCCTGATGGAGAAGCAGATGATGGAGTTCCTGAAGAGGTTGTTATTTGTGACTGTGTTGCTACTTTCTGCTGAGTATCAGTCCATAGTTTATTAATTAACTCAGAATTTTCTTCCTTTATTTGGTGGAGAAACCTATAAATTACAGGACAAGTTAGGTTAGAATTAGTTAAGTGCTATCATTTAACCTGTTCAACTGTTTACATGTTTGATGTGAAGAAACATTTAATAATTCATATTCAAAGAGAAATATGTTTTGCTTTAATTTACAAGGTAAGAACTAAAATGCCAATCTTCTCAGTGTTAGAAGATACTGTTCATCTCCCTTCCAGCTTCCTAGCTAGGATGGCTCCCAAAACAACAGTGATCTGCCCTTTCTGAAGTTTTGTGCTATATGCTCCATCTTCCCCTCTCTTTCTCTAGAGAAAATACATGGTTTTGATGAAGGAGCTGGTTCTCCAAGCACAGTCTCTGCCCATCACTGAAGTAAAGTGACTGGAGCAGACTCTGCCCCTGGGTGTCATAGAGGCGGGAAGATGGAATGAGAAGAGCTGCAGTGCAGGGGGTGAGAAAGAGAAGCCTTTTGCAGTAATCATCTTTATCAGTGATAAAGCTGATTTTTCAGTCGCTAGTTGTCTGATTTATTTGCCTATTTCCCAATTGGGCTAATATTTAAAAGGGGAGGGTGCTAAAAGTAGAAACAACCCAAATGTCTACCAACTGATGAATGAATAAGTAAAATGTGTTCTGTTCACACAAAAGAACATTATTCAGCCGTAAAAAAACGAAGTGCTAACACACTACAAATATGGATGAATCTTGAAAACATGTGACGGACACCAGACACAAAAGATCACATTTTACATGATTCTATATAGAAAATGTCCACAATAGGCAAATTTACAGAGATTTAAAACACATACACACACACACACACCCATATTCATTTAATAGATTAGATTGGGCTGAAAGGTTTGGGAGAAAATGGGATCTGATTATTAAAGAGTGTGGGGCTTCATTTGAGGGTAATGAAAATGTTCTGAAACTGACTATGGGTCACACAGTTCAATGAATATACTAAAAAAAATCTCAAATTCTGTTAATATTATACTTTAAATGGATAGTATGGTATATGAATGATAAATCAATGAAACTGTTACGAGAAAACAACAGAAGAAGTGACTCCAAAAACCTCAACCTAGTGGAGCTGCTTTCAAGCAACCTGTGGACAGCACATTGAACACTAGCTGCTACAAAGTTTAACAAAAGGCCTGTAATGTGGTCCACACACACTATGGCTAGTTATCAAAGCATCACGAAGACTCCTACTGCAACATAGTATAAGTGGTGGTGGTTTAGTCACTAAGTCCTGTTTGACTCTTGCAACCCCATGGACTGTAGCCTGCTAGGCTTCTCTGTCCATGGGATTCTCCAGGCAAGAATACTGGAGTGGGTTGCCATTTCCTTCTCCAGGGGATATTCCCGACCCAGGAATTGAACCTGGGTCTCCTGCATTGCATAGTATAAGTTAGGTCTAAATCCAACCTTCAGGATAAATCATAAGAAAAGTGTCATAATGAAATTTCTGTACAACTTGGGAAAATCTCCATTAACGTCTTCTAATGTTTATACTTTTAAGAATCAGGTTGTATCAAAGAGCAACAACAAAATAATAATACAATACTATCTATGGTAGGCTTAAGAATGGCCCTCTCAAGAGACACCTATAACTTAATTCCTGGAACTTGTGAATGTTACCTTATCTGACTAAGAAGGTACTTTGCAGGTGTGATTAAGCTAAGGATCCTGAGATAGGGAGATGATTCTGGATTCTCCAAGTGGGCCCTGAATGCAATCATATGCATCCTTAAGAAGGAAGCAGAGGGAGATTTTGATGCACACAAGCAGAGAAGGTGACATGAAGGTGGAGGCAGAGACTGGAGTGATATGGACACAAGCCAACACCTTCAGCCACTAGAAGTTGAAAGAGGTAAGGGATAGAATCTCACTTAGAGTACCCAGAGGGAATGTGGCAATACCAACATCGTCACTTTAGTCTAGTGAAACTGATTTAGGATTTCTGGCCCCTAGAACTGTGAGAGAATAAATATCTGCTGTTTGAAGCCACCAAGTTTGTAGAAATTTGTTAACACAGCCCCAGAAAATTAATACAGATTTTGGTATCTAGATATGGAGTGCTGATGTAAAAAATACCTAAAAATATGAAAGTAGCTTTGGAACTGGATAATGAATAAAGGCTAGAATAATTTTTAGGTGAACGATAGGAAAAGCCTCCTTTCCATGGATCATATCACTGACTCACGAATCTGAGCAAACTCTGGGAGATAGTGGAGGGCAGAGGAGTCTGGCGTGCTGCAGTCCATGGGGTTGCAAAGAGTTGGACATGACTTAGCAACTGAAGTTCTGAACAACAACAGAAAAAACCTGACTGCCTTAAAAAGATTATTGGTAGAAATATGAATGTTAAAGATTCTTTCATTGAAGACTCAAGAGGAAGTCAGGAGCATGGTAGAGAAAGCCTGTATCATCTGAGAAAATAACATATCATCATAAATAGAATGTTGGTAGAAATATGAATATATAGAATATATATGAATAATAGAAATATAAAGAAGTTTCTGGTGAGGATTCTGAAGGAAATGAGGAACATGTTATTGGAAACTGGGAAAAAGGCAATCCTTACTATAAGCAGTAGAAAAGCTGAGTTGTGTGGGGAAGCAGAATTTGTAAGCAATGAAACTGGATATTTATCTGTCAAAGTTTACAAGGAAAAGTACTGAACGTGCAGGTGGAGATAGTGGTGAACCTGCCTGCCAACATGGGAGACATAAGAGATCAGGTTCGATCCCTGGGTCAGGAAGATTCACTGGAGGAGGGCATGGAAATCCACTCCAGTTTTCCTGCCTGGAGAATCCCCATGGACAGAGAGTCTGGCAGGCTACAGTTCATAGGGTCACAGAGAGTCGAGACACTACTGAAGCGACCACACATGCATACGCACGCACTGAACATACAGCCTGCTTTTCTTCTTGCTAAACACAAGAGTAAAGAGATAAATTGAGAGAATAACTCTTAAGAAAAAAGAAAGCAGGATTGATTTGAGAAATCCTTACTCTTCAGATTGCAAAAGATGCTCAAATTAGGAGTCACTGTTAGGAAAGTAGGCTCTGGAGATAAGCACAAGTACACCAATTCTCTTTTATGGCAGCATCAATTATAACAGTGTTTGTTTTTTTTTCCATTTATTTTTATTAGTTGGAGGCTAATTACTTTATATCATTGCAGTAGTTTTTGTCATACATTGAAATGAATTAGCCATGGATTTACATGTATTCCCCATCCCGGTCCCCCCTCCCACCTCCCTCTCCACCCGATCCCTCTGGGTCTTCCCAGTGCACCAGGCCCGAGCACTTGTCTCATGCACCCAACCTGGGCTGGTGATCTGTTTCACCCTAGATAATATACATGTTTCGATGCTGTTCTCTTGAAACATCCCACCCTCGCCTTCTCCCAGAGTCCACAAGTCTGTTCT